GGAAAAGGAGGAGAGGAAGAGGAGGAAAAGGAGGAGAGGAAGATGAGATTGTGGGAAAGGAGGAGGGGGAAAAGGAGAGAAAGAAGAGGACAGGAAAAGGAGGAGATGAAGAGGAGGAAAAGGCAAGGAAGAGGAGGATAGGAAGATGATGAGATGGTGGGAAAGGATGTCTTTAATTGTATTATGTTTAATGTGTCTTTTGTGTTTTTAAATTGTATATTCAATAAAATTGTGTGTGTATATATATATATATATATATATATACACACACACATATACACATATATAAAGTACGCATAGTCAAGGCCATGGTTTTCCCAGTTGCAATGGATGGCTGTGAAAGTTGGACCGTAAGAAAGGCTGAGAAAGGCCAAAGAATGGAGGCCTTTGAACTCTGGTGCTGGAGAAGACTCCTGCGAGTCCCCTGGACTGCAAGGCGATCCAACCGGTCAGTCCTGGAGGAGATCAACCCCGACTGCTCTTTAGAAGGCCAGATCCTGAAGTGGAAACTCAAGGACTTTGGCCACCTAAGGAGAAGGAAGGACTCCCTGGAGAAGAGCCTGATGCTGGGAAAGATGGAGGGCGAGAGAAGAATGGGACGACGGAGAAGGAGGTGGCTGGATGGAGTCCCTGAAGCAGCAGGCCTGAGCTTCAATGGACTCCAGAAGATGGCAGAGGACAGGAAGGCCTGGAGGAACGTGGCCCATGGGGTCGCGATGGGTCGGACACGACTTCACAACTAACAACAGCAAAGCCCAGATCACTTGTGCTAAAGCATGCCGGTGTGTTTTTTTTTCAGTTGAAATTATTTGAAAATAACTGACCTCTTCTCTTAATCTTTGGAACATGACCTGGATATCCAAGACTAAAACTAAGGCAGATTTAAAAAACATAATAATTTTTAAAAAATTATTTCTCCCTATCTATAAACTGCGGGCACTGGTGAATTAGGTCTTTTGCACAACTAGCGATAACTTGTGCTATACCCTGCTGTTGTTGGCTTGGCTTACAAAAGTATGTGTCCTTGCACACTTGCTAATCCACATCGTAAAAACCCCATTTAGGTACTGAATGTCTCATAAAAAGGCATCCGGTTAGGCAACATAAAACAGTCAACAACATAAAAACAAGGGTGGCTTGGGTAAATTATTAAAGTCACACTCAACAGGAGAAACTCTGTAATTAGCAGCCCCGCTAAATACAGCTCAAAATATAAAGTCTGGTTCCATGCTCTCCCTGTTGTAAGACTGAAGGCACCTAATGTACTAACACAACGCAGTCGTTTTTTAAACGGTCTTTAAAAATAGTTTCCTATCAGCAGGACATCTACAATTGCCTTAAAAGCCAACTGCCTTTTCTAGAAGACCACACTTGGAATATTGCATCCAGTTTTGGTCACCACGATGTAAAAAAGATGTTGAGACTCCAGAAAGAGTGCAGAGAAGAGCAACAAAGATGATTAGGGGACTGGAGGCTAAAACATATAAGGAACGGTTGCTGGAATTGGGTATGTCTACTTTAATGAAGAGAAGGACGAGGGGGGACATGATAGCAGTGTTCCAGTATCTCAGGGGCTGCCCCAAAGAAGAGGGAGTCAAGCTATTCTCCAAAGCACCTGAAGGCAGGGCAAGAAGCAACGGATGGAAACTCATCCAGGAGAGAAGCAACCTGGAACTAAGGAGAAATTTGCCAACAATTAATCAGTGGAACGACCTGCCTCCAAAAGCTGTGAATGCTCCAACACTGGAAGTTTTTAAGAAGAGACTGGACAGCCATTTGTCTGGAAAAGTATATAGGGTTTCCTGCCTGAGCGGGGGGTTGCACTAGATGACCTCCAAGGTCCCTTCCAACTCTGTTAAACAACAATATCCAACTGGCTTAGGGTGTTAAATATTAACAAGTCCAACTTCTACTCAAGGAGAGAAGCAACCTAGAACTAAGGAGAAATTTCCTGACAGTCAGAACAATTAACCAGTGGAACAACCTGCCTCCAGAAGCGGTGAATGCTCCAACACTGGAGGCTTTTAAGAAGAGACTGGACAGCCATTTGTCTGAAATGATGTAGGGCTTCCTGCCTGAGCAGCGGGTTGGACTAGATGACCTCCAAGGCCCCTCCCCACTCTGTTATTCTGTTAGTTTGCAGAAAGATGTTTCAGAAATGAGGGATCGTTTTAGGATCCCTTAGCTAGAGCTGGTGGCTGTAATCTTATATCCGCTCCACGAAAATGCTTTTTTTTTTTTTTTTTTAATGCCTAGGCAGGACTCAATTGGAGCCGGTGATTTCACCACCTCCATGGAGGAGGAAGCTTTATGATTATTATTTTTATTTTTCCAGACTATTTCCATTAAGGGTGAATGTTGCAAAAGCATTAAGCGCTGATGACCTCGCAGGAAGAGGAAATCGCATTTCAAAACTCTGGCTAACCGAATTAAAGCGATCCCATGGGTGGAGGTGGTGAGGTCACCCAGATGTTTTTGCCACGAGATTGAATTCCGGCAAGACGTCAGAGACAAAAACAGAAGCTTGTTTCCAAGGCCGTCCCAGAAACGAAGGGTGGCAGAGCCAGGAAATTTGGGATGCCTGCTGGATGCCTTGCAAAAGAGGATACGTGCAGAGTCAAAGAGTTATATGCTCCTCGACTTATAACCCGTTCATTTAGTGACCGGAGTTTACAACAGCCCCGAGAGAAGTAACTTAAGACGGTTTAAAAGTAACTTAATGACCGTTTTTCACACTTAATGACTGTTGCATGGTCAACTTGGCACTTGGCAACTGGTTCGTGTTTACGACCAGTCGCAGCGTCCCAGGATCAGGTGATCCCCTTCTGACAAGCAAAGTCAATAGGGGAAGCCAGATTTGCTTAACAACCGGTTTACTAACTCAGCAAACTGCAGGGATTCAGTTAACAACCGTGGCAAGGGGGGGCAAAATTCACTTAACAAATATCTCACTTAACAACAGAACCGTTGGGTTCAATCGTGGTCGTAAGCCGAGGGCTACCTGTATTTAAAGCAGTGTTTCTCGTGGTTCAAAATTGTCGTTAGTTTACCAAAGCGTAAAATACAAAAAAATGTTAAGAAAAATGAAAATAAAGGTGAAATAAGGGAGGAAAAGGGAAAGAGAGAAAACTGTAGGGTAGGGCAGGGGGTCCCCAACCTATGGGCCACGGGCCGGTACTAGGCTGCGGGCTCTCGGCCAGCGGGCCGCAGAAATGGCTGGCCAGGGTGCGTACGCGCGGGCGCGCATCCCCCCCACTCGCCCTAGTGC